GGCCCGGGCTGGGGATTCGAACTCACCACCTTAGGTGTATGTGGCTGGCGCCTTAGCCGCTTGAGCCACAGGCGCCGAGCCTAATGTGTTTTTTTAATTAAAGTCTAATATACATAAAAAAATACTCAGAACTGAGTGTAAAGTTCAAGGAGTTCTGACATTGTATGCAACCTGCACTAAAGGATGTTAAAGTAAATTTCTCCTGCATCATGACATTTAAGTCCATATCTAAACATTTTATTATAGCATGCATTGCTAAAAAGTACCATTTCTCTGTACCCACTGTACCATTATTCCTTCTAGCAAAATTAACAATTCCCTAATAGCTTTTAAATCCAGATCATGTACAAATCCCCCAATTGTTCCAAAACGTTACAGCTGACACGTTCAAAACAGGATCCAAATAATTCCCATCCATCATATTTAGTCATTGGGTCTCTTAGCTTTCTTTTACTCTATAACTAACTTCTGTGTTTCTACCTTCTCCTTCTCTCTGTTTTTTTTTTTTTTTTTTTTTTAATAAAAACCATATTGACTTGAAGAGATCAGACCAAGTATCCTTTGGAATATACCACCTTCAGTTGCTGTCTTGTTCTCTCCCTTTTGTTTCACATTAAGTAGAATTTGGCCTAGAGGCTTGGGGAAGTGTATGAACCATCTGGACAGTAATGCTCCCTGGACCATGCTGAGCTGCCCTCTAGATACACACGATGTCTCATTTATCTCCCCAGAATTAGGCCTCAGATATCCCCCAAAGATTTGAGATGAGTTGAGTCCCGTCTCTAGCTGGCCACCTCCATACACAGGCATCTTCTTAAGGAGCAACTGGGAGAAAGGTCAGGCCATGTGGGGTGGCCCTAGACAGGGTGGTCAGCTCAGGAGGAAGAAGTATCCAGACCTTTTCCTGGGAGAGCATCCTGTGGGGCTCAGGTGTGGAGGCCCAGGACAGTTTCAGGATTTCATGCTCTGCTTCTGTCCTCACCATGCAGATGACAACAGCAATCAGAGCTCTATAGCTGACGCCTCCCCGATCAAGCAGGAGAACAGCAGCAATTCAAGCCCTGCCCCGGAGCCCAACTCTGCTGTGCCGGGTGATGGTGCTGAAGCCAAGGCAGACGAGGCCCAGGCAGATGGGAAGGGGCACCCTGGGGCTGAAGGTACGTGCTGTCTAGGGCTGGGCTCCTTGGGGTCTCCACTTGTACTTCAGCAGTCAGGGGACAAGTATTCAAGGAGGCCCTCCCAGAAAAGGTAACACCTGGAGTTCAGAGTCTCTTGAGATGATTAAAAGTCAGATAGTCTGAGAGGCAGAGGCAAATGGATTGCTTGAGCTGAGGAGTTTAAGACCAGCCTGAGCAAGACTGAGACCCCATCGCTACTAAAAATAGAAAAATTGAGACAAGACTATATCATTTGAGCCCAAGAGTTTGAGGTTGCTGTGAGCTATGATGACACCATGGCACTCCACCCAAGGCTACAGAGTAAAGCTCTGTCTCAAAAAAAAAAAAAAGGCGCCACCTGTAGTTCAGAGGAGTAGGGCGCCAGCCCCATATGCCAGAAGTGGCAGGTTCAAACCCAGCCCCAGCCAAAAACTGCAAAAAAAAAAAAGGGGGGGGGGGATAGGGAGTAGGGGGAAACTGGGCGCCTATACTCAGTGGTTAGGGCATTGGCCACATGCTCCAGGGCTGGTGGGTTTGAACCCGGCCTGGGCCTGCTAAACAAAATAAAGACAGCCTATGATTTGGAAGCCAAGTGTGGTGAATTAGACAGTAGAAAAGGGGAATGGGGAGTCGTGCTGAATGATGGGGGTGTCGTAGTTTTAAATAGAAGGCGGTCAGGGAAGGCCTCACTGAGAAGCTGACATAACTACAGGCTCAACCTAGGCTAAGAGTGAGCCAGCGTATATCTGGGAGAAGAACATGGCAGGTGGTGCAAAGGCCCTGTGGCAGGAGTGTGTTCAGCGTGACTAGAGGAAAGTGCATGAGGGACTGGAAAATATAGTGGCATCAGGGCGGAGCCCAGACCTCTGGAATGGGGACCTCCAAAGGCTACTGCCCAGCCCAGGTTTTTCTAACGCGTGAGATGGGAGCCCTTGGGGTTTGGGTGATGTGATCTGAAGGATTAAGAATTGACAAGGTAGAACCTGGGTGGAGATAGGAAGCCCCAGTGAGGGGCTGCTACAGTTGTCTAGGGAGAGGATGCTGATCAGACCTGGGGTGAGGGAGGAACGGGAGGTGGTAAGGAGTGGTCTGATCGTAGAGGTGGGGGCAGATTTGTGCATATGAATGTGTATTTGTGTGTGTGTTGAATGGGAATAGTGGTTACTTGCTTTGCTGTGTTTTGTTTTTATTTATTTTGAATTTCTACAGGAAAATGGGAAGAATAGTACAAGTATATCCACCAACTGAAGTAGGCAATTGTTGGGTTTTTTGAGAGTTTGTGTTTATTTGTTTTTTTAGTTTTTTGGCTTTATCTACAAACATTTTTTCCTGGGACCATTTGAGAGTAAGTTGTATACCTAAGGACGTTTCCTCTGTAAACACTTCAGCATGTGTCTCTGTCTGGGCTCAGTGACTCACACTTACGATATCAGCCCTTTGATAGAACAAGGCAGGAGGATCACTTGAGGGCCTAGAGTTTAAAACCAGCCTGAGCAACATAGCAAGACCCTATCTCTGCAACAAATTAAAAAAATAAATAAACATAGAGTTGATGTCCAGCTTTTGAAAAATCAGATTTGGTAGTACTATGTCTGCATTTCCATGAAGCAGCAAACATTAAGAGCAGAAAAACAGCTGTCCCTCCACTTACCGCACTCCCCACCCCTCCTTATTATCTCTCCAGCACTATGGTCAAAGGGCAGTTTCCATGTGTTAACCCTGTGTTTACCACTGTTTTTGCTATTATAGATTTAAAAGGAAAATCAAGGGCCAGGCATGGTGGTTCACACCTATAATCCTAGCACTCTGGGAGACAAAGGCCGGTGGATTGCTTGACCACAGGAGTTCAAGACTAGCCTGAGCAAGACCCCATCTCTAAAAATAGCTGGGTGTTGTGGTAGGCGCCTATAGTCCCAGTTACTCGGGAGGCTGAGGCAAGAGAATTGCTTGAATCCAAGAGTTTGAGGTTACTGTGAGGTATGATGGCCACGGCACTCTACCCAGGGCAACAAAGTGAGACTCTGTCTCAAAAAAAAAAAAAAAAGAAGGTACTTACTGTGCTTTAAACTTCTTTTGAAAATAATTTAATTAATGATTTCTAAAAATTTTTGTACCACACTTAAGATCCTGTCATGGTACACTAGTGTGCCGTCGTCCTATTTAAGTAGCTCCTCCCCGCCATGATAGTCTGTATCTTTTATGCACGTGCTTTGCCTCAGGGAGTCTCATGCCCATACCTGTCCACACCTTTGCCCAGGTGCAGGTGGATCGATAGGCTGTGCCCTTGGAAGCAAAACTGTTTAGTCCAGCGGTTCTCAACCTCGACCCACGGGAACTGTACTACAGGACCGCAGCATTAGGAAGATTGAGAACCACTGGTTTAGTCAAAGGGTGTGTGCACTTAAAGTGCCTGTAGATGTGCTGAGATTTCCTCCAGAGGGGTTATGGGTAGAATGACTTTCTGCTGGAACAGGAATCTAGGCCTTGGCTCTATTGGCATTTTGGGCTGGATAATTTTTGTTGCCAGGAGGGTGTCCTGTGCATCATGGGAGGTGTAACAGCATCTCTGGCCTAGATGCCAGTGTCTCTCCTTCCCCAACTGGGACACTAAAATTGTCTCCAGACATTGCCAGATTATGGTGGTGGTGACAAGATTGCCTCCAGTAGAGAGCCAGTGTCTTGGTGGCTTTGCCCTAGAGTAGACTTCGCTGTGTACAGCATGGGCTACCACTCCTACCCCACCCCCCCATCTGGCCTGTCCACCACCAGGCTTCTCATGGGAGTCCTGGCCAGGTGGCTGTGCAAGTAGAAAGTAGAAGGGTCAGGACAGGGCTGTGGTCACATCCAGGCAGACACTAGCTGTATGGCCTTGGGCAGGCACCATCACCTCCCCCGCACCTTTCTGTTTCCTTGTTTATAGAATGAGATGAATAGATGTGGCCTCCCTTGTCAATCGCAGTAAGAGGTGGAGGAGGTGGGAACATGAGCAAAGTGCTTGGCCAGGAGCTAGGCACGTAGGAAGGATCTGGGGAGCAGGGGAGCGATTCTGGGGGTTCTGGGGGCTGGCATGGGCCATGTCTACAGCTACACTCTGGCTTCTTTCCCATCCTGGTTTCCTTCTGGCTATGGCTTTATTTCTCCCATGTTTCGAGTTTGTATCTCCTTTGCTGTAAGGCCCAGTTAAAACTCACCTATATGAATTATATTTTAGGTTAACACCTCCATAACTGCCACATTTTGCTAGCCACTACCCACCTTGCCATCATCACCAAAAGCTAAAGCATTGGGACCCAAGCAGGCCACCGCAGATCTCTGGGCCCACATAGCTGCCCAAGTGCTGTTCAGACTCACCTGCCCACTGGCAGGTGCTGCCCAGGCTCCCTGTGGGAGGGGCCCAAGGACCAGACTAACATGGCCTTCCCAGGTGGGTGCCCAGTGTCTGCCGGGATAGGACAGGTTGGCCACCAGCTGTTGACCTTGCTTTGAACTTGTTTACTGCTGAGTGAGTTCAGGGAATGACATAATATCCAAGCTCCCTGGACTAAATTTAGTCCCCAGGAAAATTTCCTCTGGGTGAATTCCAACACCACTGCGCTCAGAGAATCAGCTGCTGCCTTGAGCCATTGAGTGCTGTGTGCACTCTAAGGCCATTTCCCCCTGAGCACTCAGGCCTGGCTTTCAGGGGAGGCCTCTGGTGGGGTGCCTCTCCACCCAGCAAGGGTCAGCATGAATTTCTGGGTGATTGGCCACCTTCATGATTTCTAAGCCTATATATCTGGGGCACCCACATCCCATTCCACTCTGCCAACCCTTCTGTGCCCAGCAGAAAAGGAACTACGGTCACATGCAATGCCACAGATGTGGCAAATTTTCTAGGTCAGTAGAATGTTAGATGTTTATGTTATTATAAACATAGGTACTACAGAATAGAATATAACACTAACATGGATTTTTTCTTTTTATTGAGATTAAATTCACATAAAATTAACTTTTAAGTGAACAACAATTCACTGGTGTTTAGTATACTGAAAAGGTTGTACAACTACCACCTCTGTCTAGCTCCAGAATATTTCCATCACGCCAAAGAACAATCTCTTACCCACTAGCAGTCACTCCCCATTTCTCCTTCCCCTATTCCCTGGTAACCTCTAACCTGCTTTCTGCCTCTGTGAAATTGCCTGATCTGGACATTTCATGTAAGTGGAGTCTGGCTTCTTTTCACACAGCATCGTGATTTCAAGGTTTGTCCGTGTTGTAGTACATGTCAGCTTTATTCTCTTTTGTTTGTTTGTTTTCTAGAGACAGAGTCTCACTCTGTTGCCCTAGGTAGAGTGCTGTGGCATCAGCCTAGCTCACAGCAACCTCAAACTCTGAAGCTCAAGAGATCCTGTTGCTTTAGTCTCCTGAGGAGCTGGGACTACAGGTGCCCACCACAATGCCTGGCTAGTTTATCTATTTTTTACTAGAGATGGAGTCTCACTCTTGCTCAAGCTGGGCTCAAACTCCTGAGTTTGAGCAGTCCACCTACCTTGACCTCCCAGAGTGTTAGGATTAGAGGCATGAGCCACCATGCCCAGCCTCAGGGGTTCATTCATTTTGCTGCTGCATCATACTCCACTGTGTGTATCTGTTCATCTGTCCAGTTACTTTGGGGCTTTTTCTTCTTTCTGGCTATTGTGAATAGGGAGGCTGTGAACATCCATGTACAAACATCTGTTTGGGTTTTCAGTTCTCTTGGGGCATGTGCCTAAGAGTGGAATTGGTAGGTCATTTGGTAATTCTGTGTTTAACTTTTTGAGGTACTTGCATTAACATGGATTTTAAAGGTAAAACTAAAAGTATCAGAAATTTCGGGTTTATGGGGAGTTTGACTCTGTACCCTAGATAATGCCTCAGTTACTCCCACCTGCGGGGGCTGCTGTTTGGTCATGTCATTCCGATCGATCTTCACAGCTACTCCACAGGGTGGCTGTTACCCACCTTGTTTCTACAAGTGTTTCTACAAGTTTCTCTCAGTCTCAGAGGCCCCTCACCTGGCAGAGGCAGTGCAGGCAGTATTCAAACCCAGATCTGTCTCCAAACCCTGTGTCCTCCATACACTAGGCTGTAGGCAGAACCCTGCCCTGGTGATTGTGGATTCCTGATCCCCACCCTAGTTGGGATCCAACAGAGTTCAACTTGGAGCCTGGCCCATGACACTGGATGAATGTCAGGTCTCCTGGTCTGAAGAGTAACAAGCATTTGGTATCATCAGCCCCTTCATCTTTGCTTGTTCAGCCCCCCAGGAAGGCCAGAGCCCCCTGCACCTGCTTGTGTCAGACCCCTCCCTTAGTCCAGTATTGCCTGATTGCTTTTAAACTTAAGCCTAGATTTTCCCCTGCTTTATTATTTCTCTGCCTCAGAAGCCCCAGAAAGTAAGTCTTGGTTGCTTAGGCATTCTTTAGGATTAGTTGTGTTTTTTTTAAATCGGGGAAACACAGTGTTTGGGGCCCTGGTGGTATTTTGCTGTTCTCTGCATGAGTCCCCAGCCCTGTGCCCAGTAGGCTGTAGGTGGAACTGCTGCCACCCCTACCCCAGCCTGTACCCTCTTTTCTGTTGAAGAAACCTAGGGTGAAGCAGCAGGGAGACTGGGGCATGGAAAGTCAACCCAGTACCTAGATCCATTAGATGTACCAATGGCTCAGAGGGCTACTGTGCTGCTGTTAAATAAGCTCTGGTACTTACGGAATTTTTAAAGACATGAAAAATTTTTCCCAAATACCTTGTGATCCTTGTTTGGGAAGAGGGTAAAATAACATGCATTAGGAGGAAAAATCTAGAAAGATGGGAAACCTAAGTCTGAAGCATAGAGGGGTGGTCTCTGGGTAGCATGAGTGACAGGTGATTTTACCTTTTTTTTTTCCTGCATTTTCTCTTTCCTGCAATGATCAGTCATTATTCTGACAATCTGAAAAGTGCCTGTATTATTAAGAAAAATGCTTACAAAGGGTCAAGTACTTCTGACGTGCCGCAGGCTCCTTCCGCAGAGAGGAGGCTCCGCCATGATTGTTGGCGCATGATGGGTCCACCAGGGGGCGCCCAGTGCACGCAGCTTGAGCCCACAGTGTCTCCTGGTCCCCAGAACTTGCTTGCTAATAAGGGTTCAGGAGAGGGTTTGGAACCCCAGGGCTAGTACGTGGCCTGGCTGATTAGAACAGCATCACTAACAAATAAACAAGGGGCTTCTCTCAGCATCCCCACATCCAGCCTGTTGCAGCCCTTGAAGACCACCGAGCATACAAGTCCCCAGTTACAGGTATTTTTAGTATCAGGCCCATCTGGCTTGGCATTTCACGTGCCTGAAAACAGCTTCTGTCATCTTGCTGTTCCTCAGATGCTTCTGATGAGCAGAATTCACAGTCTTCGATGGAACACTCGATGAACAGTACAGAGAAAGTAGAACGGCAGCTATCTGGAGATTCGGGTTTAGCAGCAGAGACGTCAGCAATCTCTCAGGTACCTAGGTTGTGATCTCAGAGGGGCATCTAGGTCAGGTGTGGATGGGGTGGTGGGCAGCTCAGGGGGTGGATGAATTTGGTGGGACTTGCTAACAGGTGTGGGGTGCAGGCAGGGAGGAAGGCTGCTGGATACCGTCCAGACCTGGGCTTTCTCCTAGGCCAGTGGGGAGTACCTGTTAGGGTAGCTGTAATTAGGAGTTGAGTCTCAGACAACAGATTAGGTTGAAGATGCCCTGGATAATTGGGTAATGGCTGAGTGAGTGAGTGTTGAACCTTTTGGGGGGGGGGGGCATGGGATTTTGTTGGAATTTGGCGACAGCTACAGACCCTTTCCCCCAGAATAACATACATAATAAGTACATTCAGCAATGACTCACGGGTATAATCCTAGCACTCTGGGAAGCTAAGGCAGTTGGATTGCTTGAGCTCAGGCGTTCAAGACCAGCCTAAGCAGCAAGAGCAAGACCCTGTCTCTAAAACTAGCTGAGTGTGGTGGTGGGCACCTATAGTCCCAGCTACTTGGGAAGCTGAGGCAAGAGGATTTTTTTTTTTTAAAACAGAGTCTTACTTTGTCGCCCTCAGTAGAGTGCTGTGGCGTCATACCTCATAGCAACCTCAGATTCTTGGGCTCAAGCAGTCCTCTTGCCTCAACCTGCCAAGTAACTAGAACTACAGGTGCCCGCCACAACACCCAGCTATTTTTAGAGACGAGATCTTGTTCTGGCTCAGACTGGTCTGGAACCTATGAGCTCAAGTGAGCCACCGCACCCAGCCTTGCTAGAGGATTACTGAGCCCAAGAGTTTGAGGTTGCTGTGAGGTCTGACACCACGGCACTGTACCGAAGGCCACAGAGTAAGACTGTCTGAGGAAAAAGAAAAAAGTACATTCAGCAAAGGTTGAGAGTGTGCCCAGGCCAGGCCCTGGGCCAGTAATAGTCTAGGACATGGCAAAGCAGGTCTGGGCCTTCCAGAGATGGCCTTAGAATTTAGAGGGGTAAACTTGAAACTTATGTATAAATAATCCACCCAGCACTTCATTACAGATGGGAGGATTGAGAGTCTGGGTTGATGAAGGGAGTATGGAGAACAGTCCTGGGTGGGGACGTTGGGTTGATGAAGAGAGTGTGGAGAACAGTCCTGGGTTAGGGTGGTTCACATATGGCAGGGCTGGGCAGGGGCCAGACAACAAGCCTCCCAAAGTTCCAGGAGGAGTCCAGTGTGATGGTCTCTCTAGATCTATGAACCTCTAAAGTCAGAATATGGGCCTTGGGATGGAACTGCTGGTCTGAACTGCTCAGATGCTCCTTCTCTGTTCCTTCTGGGCTGATGTTCAACTATCTGGCCTAAATTGCTCCTGGCCTACTAACCTGTGTTTCTCTTTTCTTCCTTTTCCCCCAAGGATTTGGAAGGAGTGCCGCCCTCTAAAAAGATGAAACTGGAGGCCTCTCAACAAAACTCCGAAGAAATGTAGAAATAAGTGAAACCCTCCAATCCATGTTTCATGGAAGGTACATCAGCAGTTAATTCTAGAACAACTTTGCCCAAGCAACTCCTCTTGGGTACGAACAGAACTACTAATGTTTCAAGTTTACCAAGTGCAAATCCAAGAAAACCTAGAATGGCGTAACTTCTCAGACACTGAAGAACTCTGCTGTGAAGCAAAACACTCGAACCTTTAAGCGACTGTCCTTGGGGAGGCGGGTCGGCAGCTCAGGAGTGTCTGCACACTGTCTCGGAAGCCAAGATTACATTTGTGTTGCTGCTGTATTTTTTTTTCCACTTCTCTATTTAACGATATAAGCTATGCGAGGGTGGTACTGATCAGGAATTCGCTTTTCATCGGGGCTTTCACACTGTTCAACCGATTCTTTCTGCTTTCTTTTTTGTGCCTTGTGCCCTTGAGGTGACCTCTGGCATGTTTCCTGGTTGTTTTTGCATCTTCTTTTGCAAAGTGCCCTCTTGGTTTGTTGGGGCAGCGGCTGCCACCACGCTCACCTCTCTCCTCCATGCCCCAGGACTTTTATCAGAGCAGGCAGGGCAGAGATGGGAGCTCCTCAGCCCACCTGATTTCCAGGTACAGGGGCTCAGGCCCTCCCAAGCCCTAGATGGGGTCTGCACCAGCCTCCAAGGCCCGAGGAGTTGCAGGTGTGGGGCATGGTCCCCAAGGGTGGCCTCTTCGGTCCAGGCTGGGCGCTTGCTATGCCCTTACTTCCTCTGGGCCTTTGAGACTGGTTGTTTCCAAGGCTACAGTGGCCTAGATGGACATGCAAAGCCCTTAGATTTTTCTGGCACTTCCAGTCTTGTTGCCCCCACCCCCATCTCTACCGGCTTCTCCCAGACCTCCGAAGATGAAATGGCTTCTCTGGCTGACTGCAAGACGCTAACAGGGCCAGGGAGGCTGGAAGCAGGAGGTAGGAATAGCTGGTGCTGAACTTTTCGCTCATAGGACGTTGCTTGGATTTCAAATCCATGTTGCTTCCCTCTGCCTCCCCCTGTGCCCTGGCCTGTGCCTTGGAGAGGCAAGATTGCAGCTGATCAAAATCTGCTTGCTTCTGTATAACGTTCTGACTCTCGGAGCCAATAGTCCTACCATGTCTCATACCAGAACGTGCTGTTGGTCCCCACAGGGGGAGCAGGCCTTGATGGTTGGGCCTCAAAGGCCAGAAACAAGGCACCAAGGAATTAGAAAGATTTGCACACCCTCCTGGAAGGAGAGACGGACTCTCCCCATCAACCCCAACTGCGCTGGGACCACTTCCTCTCACTAAACCAAGATGCCCCCTTGGACGAACTGCCTAATCATTTGGTTCTGAGACCCAGATGGCTCTCTCAGTACATGGGCTTCTCAGACCTTCAACCCTTTCCCGAGCTTTCTTTACTGCACTGGAGTTCTGACTCCCTTTGAGTTGTGTGTTACGGGGGTGGGGGGGATTGCGGGTTTTGTTGTGGTTTTTTGTTTTGTTTTGTTTTATTTGGCTAATTGGTGCATATTCAGGTGCCACCTCTGACGTGTGGGTCTTTCTCCTGACCACCATGGGAAATGTCTGCCAGATTCCATTTTCTAAGCATTTCTGAGGGTGAGGCTCTTACTTTTTTTTTTTTTTTTTAAAGGGAGCCTATCTATTTCCTGCACTTCAAGAAAAATCAAAATGTTCCTGAATTTCAAATACCTCATGCAAAATGTCTCCTGAAATAAGGGAAAAAAAAAGAAAGAAACTTTGAAAATCTTAATGTTGAAGTTAGCAATGCTGAAAGGTCTCTGTCTTAAAAAAAAAAAAAATCCTGTACTTAACCAGTTTTGCCCCTCAGGCAGTTTTGTTGGGAACTGTGTTCTGCGACTGCCGCAGAAGCAACCAGATGCGTTACCTCTCAGCGCATCTCCTGGAGCTTTACCTCCAGATCCTGTAGAGTTAGAGTAATGATTTTCTTTGCAGCAAAACTCCATTTTGATGAAAGATGAATTTGGATATCTGTGTCCTTTTCTTTTTTGGGAAATGAGAAGTTACAACCAAGACAGCTGAAGGAGAATCAAACACATGCATCCACAGAGACGGAAGGGCGAGGGCCACCTGTGCCACGTGTGTGCGGTGGCCTCTTTGGACAGGCAAGGGGAGTTGACGTGATTGAGGATGAAGATGATGCCCACAGTACTGAGGCTGTCACTAGTTTTTCTCTGAAGTGCCTGAAGGTAGGAATGGGCCAGCGGCTGGGACCACCTGGGCCCTGCCATGGCCACGCCAGGCAAAGCGCCAACAGCCCTGCACTCCACGCTGGCCAAGAGGGCCTTCCACGCGGGACAATGAGACTGCGAAATCCGATGTGCTTCCTTCCCTGATGCGGTCCGTGCCTCGGAGCCACCGCCCCCCACCCGCCCTGCACCCCTTGCCCTACCCCACCACAGAATCTAAGACCTTTCGGCTGCCAGCCAGGGCCGGGGGATCCTAGGTGAAAGCCTTCCAGGGACATCAGGCCCCATGGCCTAAAGGGCTCCCAGGGCAAACTCAATTCCCCCCAAAACTTGAAGTCGGGGAGGCTGCGGCTACACATTCCACAAAGTGCTGGCACTTACCCCATAACCCGGAAGGCTGCTGACCGACATTGAGGGTGGTGACCTCCCTTTATCAAATGGTGTCATGGTTTGGAATGTTCACTATCGCCCGAGGACCTGGTTAGAGGCATAAAGACCTTTTTTCACTGTTACCTAAATTTTTTTTCATCTTACGATTTTTTGGGTTTTTTTTTTTTTGGTGTGTTGTACAGCAGTATAATTTTTCACTTATTTATTCCATCAGTAGATATGGTTTGTACAATGTACAATGGTTCCATTTCAGAAAATAAAAAAAAGTTCAAATCATGAGTACTCTGTGGTTTTGTCACATCATAATAAAGAGGAAAGTCAGAGTGAAGGTGGGAAGAACACACCGGCTGCTGTGGCCTCTTGTGCACGGCTGCATGGCTTCACTATACAGGACTAGGTAAGCTCCTTGTATACAGGGACTATCACCTTCTGTGGTGACAGGATAGCTGTCATTCTTGAGCACCAGCTATGTATCATGCAAACCACTAAACACTCTTCTGTGAGCAGGTGTTATTGGCCATCTTGAGCAGGTGAGGACACAGCAGGGCTGTCCCTGGCCCACCTTTCATGGCCAGTCAGGGCCCTCGTTTAAAAGCTACACCCAAGGGCCAGGCACAATGGCTCACGCCAGTAATCCTAGCACTCTGGGAGGCTGAGACCAATTGATTGCTGAAGGTCAGGAGTTCGAGACCAGCCTGAGTGGTAAGAGTGAGACTCCTGTCTCTAAAAACTAGCTGGGCATTGTGGTGGGCACCTGTAGTCCGAGCTACTGGGGAGGTTGAGACAAGAGGATTGCTTCAGCCCATGAGTTGGAGGTTGCTATGAGCTATGATACTATGGTACTGTACTGAGGCTACATAACGAGGCTCTGTCTCTAAATAAATAGATAAAAGCTTCACCCAATTCCCTCCCTTGGCCTCGAGGCCTGGGTTCCTGCAGGGCCACTGGTTTGTGGTTTCCTCAACATTGGGGTCCTCTGTCCTGTGATCAGGAAGGACTCTGAAGGGTCAGTGCACAAGTGGATTGCAACCTTGACTTCTCTTAGCTTGGCCTGTGGTGACTACAGTCAGGCTGGAACCAGAACCTTCCCAGGGCCCTTTCCATCTCAACCCAGACTCTCCCCAACCTCCAGCTGACTTTCCCCCTCCCTCTGTCTGATCTCACCCAGCCTTGGGTCAGCTACCCCAGGGGGGTGGGGCAGAACCCTGTGTCAGCAGGTCTGGGCCCAGTCTCCCTGTGGGGACTACCTAGAGGCCAATGTTCTCTCCTTTTTATTTTTTCTGACTCTCCTCCCAACCCCCATTCCTTCTTAACATGTTCCAGTGTTTTTACCAGAATTGGTTGCTGAGCTGCATAAACTCCTGATATGGAAAGTTCAGCTTGACAAAACACAAATCATAGGGCCTTGTTTGCTTAATGGAAAAAAATGCCTTAGTTGGCACATGTCCGCGCCCTTGACTCCATCCTCCCCAAGCGTCTGTGCTGGCTCTCAGTGTTTAGGTCAGCGTCCCTTCCTCCCCTGTTGCTCTGAGGCTCTTGTCTCCACATCCCTTGGTCTCTGTCTCTGGGTCATTCTGTTCACTTTCTCTGTATCTCTCTCTGTGGAGCTGACTCTGTCTCCCATCGCCCTTCAAGGAGCAGCTGTGCACAAGCCCTAGGCGTATAGGCATTATAGACATTTGCTGAGTACCACCAGTGTGCTGGGCGCTGGGCAGCAAAGACTCAAACTTGACCTTTTTCCTTCAACAGATGAGTGAGCCCCAGGGCACCAGGAAAGATGCCGGACACAGTTTGGAATTAGAGGATGCGGACATTTTAGAAGGCTGGGCCAGGTTCAAACCCAGCAGCACCGGTGCATATGGCCAGCACCCTAACCACTGAACTACAGGTGCCGAGCCAGGATGCAGACATTTTGATGGTGGCGTCAGGGAAGTTACTAGGATGGTGGAAGAACCCCAAGCATGGGATGACCTCCTCATTTCTCCTTGATGACACAAGGGTGGCTGGAGGTTTCTGAGCTCTGCTGGATTAGGGATGTTGTTGCCAATGACTATATCACCTGGAAAAGACCTGACTGGAGGTAGGGCAAGGCAGCTAGGGAACTAGAACGGTAGGCCAAGCAGAAGGCCAGCAGTTGGTCAGAGGGCCCATATGCCCCCAGGTAATATAAAAGCCCATGGCTTGTCTAGTGCAGTGGGGAGGGGATGGGTGGGTGAGCAAAGAAAAGTCAGGTTCAGGTTCCCATCCATGCCAGACCAACAGGTGTCAGGGAGGAGCTGAGGGTGAATCGCAACTCCTCATTCTTCTGGGAGACGCCCTCTCCAAACTGCTCCGCTTTGGTGCTCCCTTGTGAGGAGGACTTGTAAGTTTTCACAGCTCAGGACAAGGAAATAAGCAGAGGATGATAACAGGGGCAGAGGCAACTCCTCCTATAATCCTCAGCATCCAGAGCTCCACCACTCTAGAACTGTGAACTGTGACCTTAGGCAAATATCTTAACTTCTCTGGGTCTCAGTTTCCTCATCAGTATGAGAATAACAGTGCCTATCGTCAGGATTAAATGAATATATGTACAAAATGCTTAGGACAAATCCCAGCACACAATCTCAAATGCTAGCTGTTATTATCACAGTTATCCTTGTGGGAAAGGAATATTCATAACCCTGACAGGAGTGCAGTCATTTTAGAAAATGAGGTCAGAACCAAGAGTCTTCTCCCCAGATTACTGGAGTGTCTCGAGGCCAAAGTTCCTGGATATATCCTACCCATAATGCTGACACTAAGGATATACCCCAAATCCTGACCCGCACTAGAGAAGAGCCCCAGGAGGTGCTCTAGGCTCACTGCCCTGTTTCAGCTGTAGTGATAAGGCTAATAAAAGCCTTTTGCAACTGTGGGAGCTGAGCTGACACCTGGTCAGTCTCTTTTCTCCTTTTCCCCTCTATAATCTTTCCTTGTCCCTGGACTGGCTTCCTTTGCTTTCTTGCTGATCCTCACCCAGGTTCTATGCCAGAACCTCTCAATCTTCAAGCAAGTCTAGACAACCAGAAGTCCAGTTTCCTAGCACCCTGGGAGGCTAAGGAGGGTGGATTCCTTGAGCTCAGAAGTTTCAGACCAGACTAAGCAAGAGCAAGACCTCATCTTTACTAAAAATAGAAAAACTAGCCAGGCATTGTGGTGGGTGCTGGAGTCCCAGCTGAGGGACTTTAGGAGGCTAAGGCAGGAGGATCTCTTGGGCCCAGGAGTCTGAGGTTGCTGTGAGCTGTGATGACACCAAGGGTGAAGGGTGGTCTTAAAAAAAAAAGTCCAGTTGAGGGTATGAAGGGAAAGGGCAGGAAGAGCTGACCACTCCAGCTGCCTCCAGTTCTGAAGAGCCACCTCTTTCCATCTGGTATGCCCCAGGAGACCCATAGCTGAGTGAGGCCTGTGGGATGAGTAGACAGAAAGGAGGATGTCCTGCTGGGAGGAGGGCCTAAGCAAAGGGCTGAGATTAGAGAACAACATCCCTGCCCAGGCGCTTGCTGTTCAGGGACCTTGGGGGAAAGGGGTCTCAGGAGGACAGCCAGTTAGAGACTCATTTTTCAGGGTTTCTCTCACCTCTCCAGGAGGCAAAGACCAGGATCCAGTGCCAAAACTGTGGGCCTGTCTCCCTCTGGGACACCCCTAAGCCACTGTGCCCTTGGATGCACTGGTCAGTGGCTTTTCTCTTCTGATTTAGAGGGAAAAAAAAATCTGCTCTGCATCAAAGAACCTCAAGAGGCTCTTAATCCCTGTTTTCTCCCTCAGGACTCTCTCAGTGATGAGCTCATTTGACCTCCCTGTGACCCCGAAATGTAGTTTAGAGCAAGGACTCTGCCTCCCCATTATATGGAAATAATAATAAGGCCAGGGAAGTGACAGGGACTGAGAGTGCTGCAAGGATCCAGGGAAGGAGGTTTTGGAACCCAGCCTATCTTCCACTAGACCAGGGGTTGATAAATCTAGCCCACTACCTGTTTTTGTAAATAATGGGAAGGGGGGTTGTTTTGTTTTTTGAGACAGAGTTACACTCCGCTGCCCATGCTAGAGTGTTGTGGCATCAGCCAAGCTTACAGCAGCCTCAAACTCCTAGGCTCAATCAATCTTGGTTCAACCTCCAGAGTAACTGGGACTATAGGCACCTGCCCTAATACTCAACTAATTCTCTTTCATTTTTAGTAAGAGTCGAGGGTCTCACTCTTACTCAGGCTGGTCTTGAACTCCTGAGCTTAAGAGCACCTCCTGCTTTGGCCCTTCCAGAGTGCTAGGATTACAGGCCTAAGCCACTACACTCAGCTTATAAATAAAGTTTTATTGGAACACAGCTGCACTCATTCATTTACACATGTCCCTGGCTGTTTTCACCATACAAGAGCAAAGTACATATGCTCCTTGAGTTTGAATGGGGGTTATGTTCCAATTAACCCATAAATTAAAAATGCATTTCCTAAGTTGAAAATGCATTTTATACACCTTATCTATTGAACACCATAGCTTCGACCTTAAACTTATTTAGAACATTCACATTAGGCGAGGTATGGTGGCTTATGCCTGTAATCCTAGCACTCTGGGAGGCTGAGGTAGGTGGATTACCTGAGTTCAGGAGTTTGAACCCAGCACGAATAACATCAAGATCACCTTTCTATTAAAAAAATACCTGGGCATGGTGATGCATGCCTGTAGTCCCAGCTACTCCAGAGGTTGAGGCAGGAGGATTGTTTGAGCCCAGGAGTTTGAGATTGCTGTGAGCTATGATGCCACAGCACTCTACCCATGGCAAGAAAATGAGACTCTGTCTCAAAAAAAAAGAAAGATTCTGCCTTGAAATCCCACCGTGACTGTGACTACATACTGTATGATTCCATTTATATGAAATTTCTAGAAAAAGCAAAACTATGGAGACAGAGCCTGGGTTGCCTGGGGCTGGGAATGGCAATTGACCGCAAAGAGGCACAAGGGAATGGTTGCTGAAAACATTCTAAAGCTGGATTGTGCAGACGATTATACAACTGTGTGAATCTATTAAAACCCATTGAATTAGGCACTTAAGATGGGGCCTTTAAGGGGATGTAAATTAGATCTCAATAAAGCTGTGCCCCACATCCCAACCCTGTTCATTTCTTCACCCTCCTGTTCCTTGGCTTCCCTACCTGTAAGACAAGGTCCAGCCTGCCTGTCCCTGTCCAGCCTGCCTCACTGGGTTGTGTGGGGTCCGAGAAGAAGATGTATGAGGAAGGCTTTGCAAACTGTGGAGGGCTGTT